ACACATACAAAATCTAATGGGATCATTAATTCCTCAAATAGAAATAATCCAATTTTTCCAAAACCTAGCTTACAGGCACTTTTCTATAATTTCATTCTTTCTCCCAAATCATCATTATTACAAATTAAATATATATTTCTAATCCTCAATACATGTAAAATCTAATGTGATCAACAATTCCTCAAACAAAAATAATTATAAAATTACTCATAATCTTAAGGGACTATTCGTCTACCCAATTCCCTCATGTAACTCTACATACAAATAATCCCTTTTTCCCCCGTGTAACGACCCAGCTGGTCACTACACACGGCACGACACACTGGAAACACCAGGCAGATAGAACAAGTTTATAATATAGGATCTAGAATATATGTATATACAAGGCTCTAATTTGACTAGAGTTAGAGTGTACAACAAAATACATCAAAGCTACTACACCCTGTAGCTAAACAACAAAACATCTAAATAGATCAGCTCCGTCTACCAGCTACAGACCTATCGCCAGCCACCAACCTATCCCTGCTCTGCTCCCATACATAGTATGATCATTGTAGTCCAAAAATCATGGAGACAACAAAGGGTAAGTTAGTGTAAGGAAATCAACATACATATATAATATATGAACAATAAACAGCTACTGCTATCAACACACCCGCATAGCCTATACTACACCACAGCAAAATCAGCAATATCAGTAATATCAGCACCGCTCAGCGGCTATAACAGCACCACAATAGTGGCTAACAGCACCGACATAGCAGCTATAACAGCACCACAATAGTGGCTAACAGCACCGACATAGCGGCTATAACAGCATACAACATAGCACAGCATATCAGCATACAACACAGCTAAGTAGTATTCAACATAGCTTACTACTCACATCCCAGCTCATCATTCTAGAGCACAGCAATATCATATTACAACATTTAAACTTATCAATAACAGCCAGCTCAGCTCAGCATTATACATCTATCAACAGCTTAACATCATAATCAGCATAAAACAGCCTCTCTCAGCAAATTCAACAAGGTTGTACAACTAATATAACATCAAAATAACATTCTCATATGCGCCCGGCGCACCCATGTCTGTGCCCGGCACACCCACCCGTGACTAGCTTGACGAATTCCTAAAAGAGTTAAGATCAAAATGTGTCACAGTCGTGACTTAACAATCACAGTCGTGACTCTTGTGTCAAAATTCAACAAATGCAACTTCAAATATTTTGAACTCGTGTCTCATTTCACTACCAAAATGGTCATCCAATCGATATAATCATAGATTAAAAGCATAAAATCATTATATTCAGCCATCAAATACATATATTCACATGCTCATACCAACTTCTCATACAAACACCAAAACAAATTTTCTTAAGGTTCTTACAAGAACCCATAAGCAATCCAAGATTCATAAAATTAGTTTCACTCATGAAATTAAACATACATATATACGTTCAAGACATTGATTAGAGCACTAAAGAATCGTATAGAAGACTAAAACACAACACAAGTCACAAATTGGGATTTCTTCCTTCATATGGCCCATACAACACAAAAGAGATTGAGGGTCAATCTCACTATCAAGCCTATAACGAAACTACTCACTCCTTCCTTACGTTAATGAATAGGGTGCATACCTCCAGGATGATCTCTAACGATCTTTAATTCTTCTCCCTATTCTTTAGAGCACGAATTGTAAAGAGAGAAAAAAAGTGTAAAGGTAAACTAACTCCCCAATCTTAAAACCTCTCTTATAAAAATCTTCCAACCCACATTTAGCCTTTAGCCTTTAGTAAAATACTTTAACCATGATCGCACTTCCTTCCTCTCAAATATTAAAATTTATAAATAATATATAAAATAAGCATATTTTATTCAACACAAATTATAAAGAAAATACATAATAATTATAATAAAACATATATTTTTCTCTAAATATTTATTATAACAAAATATCATAAAACACATTTCTCAAATAACTATTATACAAAGCATTTTACAAATATTTATTATTTAATTTAAAACACATAATTAATAAAAGTCTTTAAAATATTTATAAAACCAATTAATTAATTAAAATATCCTTTTAATAAATTTAAAAATTTTGTGGTGTTAAAAAATATATTATTAGTTTTAATAATATTATTAATACTAAAACTAATAATAATATGAATATTATTTTTATAGGTAAAATAATATTTTAATAAATATAAATTAGTATATTTTTTTAGGTAAACTAATTAAGGTATCTCAAATCAATAAGTGAGAGGTAATCCTTTTAGGTATGGAGATCAAGTTAGGAATTGACTTCTTTTAATAAATATTTTTTCATGCATTGAGCATAGATCAAATCTTTGACTGCATGTTTAAGTGGTAAAGTTATCAACCAACCATGTCACATGTTATATGTAAATATAAATTAATATAATTTTAAATAAATATAAATATAAATATATTATATATGATATAAATATTTTAGAAAAATATAAATTGAAAATATATAATATAGTTTTTTTTAAAGACATATAATAAAATTAGAAAATATGATGTAAATATAAATTTAAGTAACTAAATATACAAATTAGACACACAAAATTATATCATATACTTATATTTAGA